ACACACACACACACACACACACACTCAAATGAACACAATAATCCCCTGACAAAGATTTATATCCTGCCCAGTTAGTAAAATCTATTATGTTGGTCACGTGTAGCTACACTTTTATCAAGTACTGCAAACGCGTGTATTGTCGGAACGTGAGTTCTCTACTTGTCTGGGTTTTCATGGTTTCTGTTGAGGGTTTGCTGGGAAAGTGCGTACTAAAATTAATAGATACATCGTTTGATTTTCTGCATCTGAAATTAATTAGAATGTCCATTTTTTTAGGCTTGCGGTTAAAGAACATCACACTTCAGTGATAAGGGCTGTAGCATAAAAGATCCCAACACCATGATATGTCTTTTGCCTAGGTGAATATCTTCGAACACACTTCACATTCTACTGTTGTCGCCTAAGCCGCTTAGGGTTGGGCATATAAGCAGCATAATGCATTCTTTTTAAGCAAGTTATATATATATATATCGAGAGAGACAGAGAGAGAGAGAGAGAGAGAGAGAGAGAGAGAGAGAGAGAGAGAGAGAGAGAGAGAGAGAGAGAGAGAGAGAGAGAGAGAGAGAGAGAGAAAGAGAGAGAGAGAGAGAGAGAAAGAGAGAGAGAGAGAGACAGAGAATATGAATTGGAAACAGTGGATAACAAGCACTGTACTATTCTTATATCGAGATTCTTTAACCCCCCCCCCCCCCCCCCCGCCTCCAATCCCCTCCTTTGACTTACACGTCCCCTTCTGTCAGGGATGTTTTTGTTTTTCGTCTTGTGGACTACAGAGCAAAAACTTGTGATGTCCAAAGTCGCATTCATTGTCTTTAAATTTTCATACGGAAATACAATGATGGCATAAAAAGGTTGAATTTGTCTGAAATAACTTGATGAATATTTCAACAGTAGAACGCAGAAACTTCTTTGAACATGGAAAAAAATAGAGTAGTCATTGGGTCAACATTTTTCAATAACTAGGAAAATGCGACATCACAAGTTTTTCCGCTCTAGTCTTCTATACATTTTAATGTTTCGATCCTATTCTTTTTAACTCTTAAAATCCCTCATGCGACCATGGAAAAACCAGCATTGTCAAGTAAGTAACTATTTTCTATGTTTAACTTGTATATTTCACTTTAGTTCTTTTTTTTTGTACATTACCTTATCTGAAGGGTTTTGGTGAATTGATAGCAAATGTCTTAAACTATGTAGATACAGTTCATAAGAAATATGTAGTAGCAGTAGTAGTAGTAGTAGTAGTACTAGTAGTAGTAGTAGTAGTAGTAGTAGTAGTAGTAGTAGTAGTAGTAGTAGTATTGTTGTTATCATTATCATTGTTGTTGTTGTTATTCAATATTAATAACAATAACAGTAATAATGATAATAATAATACTTATAGGAATGGTGGGGGAAATACTTTTTTGGGGAAAGGAAGAAATACTTTTTTTGCTTACACCTTACATATTGCCTAATTGATTTCTTTTCTGCAACTCTCTCCTTAGGTCCACCCTGCGGTAAGACACAATTTTGTCTTTATTGTGTAACGGCCCGTAATATGCGTGATTATAGATGTTTTAAGCCCCCATCGACACAATCTAGATAAATTAGAAGATGAGCTGTACTAAATCTCCCTGTCAAGGCCATCTCGGGCTGAGAGGGTCATAACATCCCAGAAGATAAAGACAGATACTTGATGAAAAAGTTTACCCAAATGAGAATCAGAATTAAGTCTTTAGAGTATGACGGCGAAACACAGAACTACTAGGCCACAGACTTCGCCTGTGAAAATGAACTTCCGTCATGTAGTAGATCCACTAGTCATTTGGTGTAGTAGAATGGGAATTTTACAAAATGTAAATTGAGAATTAATGTAAAATAACATAGAAACATGGTTGATGTTTCGAACATGGATAGACTGAACGTATGCTTGGTATTATGGTATACACATCGATATATATGTATATGCGTGCTATATAGATATATGTAGATAGGTGTATATGTAGATATATATATAAATATATATATATATATACATACATATATATATATATATATATATATATACATACATATATATATATATATATATATATATATATATATATATATATATATATATATATATATATATATATATAAATGGATACTTTTTTAAAGCAGAGAACACAAGAAACCTTTTTTTTTACTCAGCTGAGAACATTAAAGTACAAATTAAAGTTCTTTTTTTTCAGTAACAAATTAAGAACAGTTCTTCTCACTTTGCCTCACTAAATTTCAAGGGCAGTTGACAGTAAATGCTTAAACTGTCAGGATGACTGATTATTACTCATCTCAAATGTTCCTGCTAGAGCAGCTTTGCTTGTGGATA